CGCAGTGGTCAGGACCGCCGAGCCATTCCCCTGCGTTCGCCACCCGCTGCCCTGCGGCTAGCGTGCCTGCTCCGCTGCCCCTGCGAGGCTCCGGAAAGCGCCCGGCGGGCACTGGGTGGTCTCCGCGTCCTCGGATCTTCCCTGTCAGCTCTTCTGTCGATATGACCTTGGGTCACCCTTAACTAAGCTGGGGCGCGCAGCCTAGACACTCGAAGAGGAAGAACCTTGGGTCCCGGCATGACCCGCTCTGGTAACCAGACAGCAAGGGAAGCTGGCGAGAGATTCTAGAAGGCGCCTGAGAACTTTGCGCCAACTGTAGCTCCTGCCCAAAAGGCCATAGCCTTGTTGTTAGGAATGCTGATAGCCGCGTTTGACACTCCGGCGTTCGATATAGGGATAAGCTGTGACTTCGGAGGTAATTTCCACATCCTGCTGTTTCTTTGCAGGGTCCAGGCATCTATCTGGAGGAAACAAGCGCCGAGGAGGGCAAGGATGAACGCGTTCCCAGGCGCACCGCCTCGCTTCAGAACTGGGTCACGGAGGGGCCAACTCGTGACATCTGTAAAGAGGCAAGTCCAGGCCAAACCCTCAAACGATGCCTACTGACAAGCACTGTTATCACCACCCACAGACTGGTCTGTCATATAAACAGGAGCATAAATGATGACTTTGGTTCCTGTTCATTAAAAGCATTTTGAGAGTTCTGTTTAAAATTTTAAGAGCTTGGAATCACTATTTTGATGGGAACATAGGTAAAAGACAGGAACCTTTTTCTTTATGTATGTGACAACCTGAATGGATAGATACGGGTGATATTAGGCAGAAGTTCCCACCTATAAGGGCCAAATTAAATCCAGAATAAAATCGAAGAATGTTTGAAAATCTACTCAATCCGTGCTAAGTATTGACGATGCAATGATGAACTGGACAGTGTCTTTTTCACGAAAAGTTTACAATTTAGCAAGGAAAGAAGACAGGAAGAGAAGATGACCACGGAGAGAACAAGAGCCTAGTTTGGGCATATTTCAAGAAGAGTGAATGCAATCAGTAGTCTGGTTTGACAAGGAAATAGTGCTTCTGTAGAAGGGTGTGGTGAGAGATAAACCCAAAGGTTGTAATTAAAGACATTGTGAAAGGCCTTATGTACTCAGCTGGTTTTAAACATAATTGGACAGATGAAGAGCCTTTGTAAATATGAATTTGTGGTGCTAGAGCACAAATACACACAGGAAAAAATGATTACCTGACAATATACACAAAAATAAACTCCAGACGAGTAAAGATGTAAATGTAAAAGGCAAAAAATAGCATATTTTGGTAAGAAAATAGAGAAGTGTATATTCATGACTTTGGTGGTCAGAATTACCTTAAATATAAAAAACACAAACATTAATAGAAAAATTGATAGATTTAATGATATAATTTTAAAACTATAAGCAAATTAATGTTAAGGTACAAACTTGGAAAATATGTTTACGTTAAATAGAATTTCAAAAGTGTTCACTTCTAGAATATACAAAGAACTAAAATCAATAAGGAAAAATAAGAACTCAATAGAAAAATGAGAAAAGAATGTTAAAAGACAAACCAAACCTTCACTAGCCATCAGGGAAATTTACATTAAAACAAGATAAATATATCACATCCATCAGACTGACAAAAATGTAAACCTTGATAATAACAAGTCAAGGGTATAGAAAAATGAAATTCTCAATACTGCTGAAAGAATTGTAAATTACTAAAACCAATTTTGTGAGCAATTAGGCAATATCTGATAAAGGCAAAGATGCAAATATTCTGTAACCCAGCACTTTTTGGATATAAGTATATTCCCTGGAAATATGCTTGCATTCGTGAACAAAGAAATATATACAATTATGTTCTTTGCAGCATTTTTTGTAATAATGAAATATTAAATGCACTGTAAATGACCATCAATAAGAGAATGAACAAATAAACTATAATTAATAGACTTAGCATGAAAATGAATTGGAGCTTCTTATCAACAGAGATAAAGTTCTATTTATAAGAGATAACAGAGGTAAATTATGCTTGGGTCTAGAGGATAAAGTCAACTACCTAAACCAGAATCTCTCCACACATCTTCAAAAAAAACATTAGATGTACAAAAAGTACAAATAAAATTATACATGCCTTTAACAATACTAGCAGACAGGATATCACAAACATCAAATTACTGGAAAATTGATAAGTACCAAATTGCAACAAAGCTTCCTCTTCTCCTGGAAGACTTGACGCCAAGAGTGGAAGAGGCAAGACTTCAGAGAATCTGATAAAGACAAAAAAAAGATTGGAAGATAGAGACAAATGAAGGGCAAAATAAAACCCTGAAAGAAAATGTCAGACATTAAGTGCCAAAATACTGAACACAGAGAAGAAGGGAAAAAGAAAAATCATTGACTGTGTATAGGTAATAGGTAATAGGTAGGAGTCAAAAGGTGCCATTTAAAAACTGACCAACTACATAGAAAAAAGAAAGGTAATGATAAAAATTATTAATATACAATAGATATAGAGATATAGAAATACATCCTAGCTCAGACATACTACTGGAGAAAAGAAATCAATGTAACTTTTTGTAGTTTTGTAAGACTGGCAAAAAAAAAAAATTCAAAAATATAAAGCTATGGTTCATTTTTCCCACTGATCATGTGCTGAGTTCTGGATGGTACTAGATGCTAGGGAAAGCTGAGTAGGAAATGCAGAGTGAAAATTCAATAGTTTTGCAGAGCTTTGGAGACAAAGTCTCATTTGAGGTAAGGAGCCTGCAACAAGCACACAACAAGTCTCTTCAAGACATTTGCCGAATTTTGAACCTGCAAAATGCAGGAACTAAGTTTAAGGCAGAATTTTCAAAGCTGAGGAAAAAACAGACTATTCAAGATATCAATCAAAAGCCCCAGCGGACCAATCCTAAGGAATGGAGATGAGCCACAGGTGGACTGAATCTCACTAAGTCTGCAACCCAGCTCAAGACCTGATTGAACTGATCAGCCTTTCAGTCTGCCTGACATAGACAGGAAAAGTCATGACTGATGAAACATATTACCTGGAGCCTCCACAGTTGTGTCTCCAATGTCCAACATACAGTAAAGTATTACTAAAAATATGAACAAGTAAAAATTTGTAGTAGTAATTTCAAAAGAAAAATAAAATGAAACAGCCATAGATAATCCTGGTACTGGAGTTAGAAGACAGGGCTTTTATTTTAGTTAAACGAAATATGATTAATTTGAAAGAAAATAGAAAAAGATGGGCTAAATGGATGAGAATTTTTCAGCAGAGAACTAGAATCTATAAAGAATATTTTTTAACTCTAATGTGCCTAAGAATAATGTCTCCTTGTGTTGTGTAACAGCTTTCACTGCAAGGCCTTATACCATAAGGCTCCCATTTTACTAGTGTGCATGTTCCTAAGACAGATAGATGCACTATAAGTTAGTGCTTATAAAACAAAAACAGGTAAACAAAAGCCTTAGTAAGCCTAGTGCAGTATCATGCAAAATAAAAATCAAAGTGGGCACCTAGAGTAAAACGCATTAAATTAAAAAAATTATGGAGAATACAAAATACAAGTCGTCATTGAAATGTTAAAGAATAAAACAAAGGCCACTAGAACTAACAAGTGAATGAAACAAAAACAAAACAGACCTCGTCCTCTTTCCCAGTATATTGGTATTTAGATGTGATAAGTCAAGTTTCCAGAACGACCTTTTGCCCTCGCATCTATTTGAGGACCATGTAAAATGATAAAGATTATTACTAGTAACTTGTTTTTCTTAAATAATTTTAATGTTATGATCAAATCTGACTGGGCCTAGGATATGTTTTTTCCCACCTTTAAAAAGTACAACCCTTTATTCCCTTCTATGTATAGAAAATGAAGTTGAGCAAAAGAGAAAGACTTAAAAGGTACATTGAAGTTTTGCTGGATGATCTGCAATTTATCCCTCTTTACGTTTCTACATAAAAGCTTCACTAGAAGTCTCCATTATTTATTAATGTTTTATTGTGTATATGTGTAGACCATATGTGTGTGCCAGATGTGGAATTCATCTCAACACAGTAATTGGGGGAGGGCAGAGTCAGCTAAAGGAGGCCCAGTTACATCTTGGTATCTATATAGGACAATCCATAGTAAGGAAATGAATAAAGTTGAGGTAAAACAGTAGCTCATACCCTTCCCAGAAATCCTCTGTGGATTCCAGACAGACCACCTGCCTAACTGTCAGAGAATATTTGTGTGGCTTCTATTAAAGACAAAAACTCCACAAGAGAATTTTATTCTGGTGGTTGCAATATGGAGAGTACCCCAGATATGAATATCAGAGTTTCTCAGTAGGGTGGTTTCGCCTTAGACTCTCATGGAAAAGAATGAACATGTAGCACATTGGGGACTTACAGTAGGGCTTGTTTTGCAAGTAGGAGATGTCTCAGTCAGATATCTGAACAGGAAATGTTTTCTCTGTAGCTGGCAAGTTTCAGGAGGGCAAAGAGTTCTAATCTCAGCTAATCAATCATGACAAACAGTTCCGATCTTAGCTAATCAATAATGAGATAAAGAGTGGGAAACTGGAGTGTCTGTGTCTGGCTATGTCAGCAAGTTTGGGCAAAAGAGAAGGTCTTTGTTGGCTTTGTCAAACAAACATAGTTTTACAACACTCTTTGGGATTAGAGTAATTTCTGCAGAATTTTGGTCAGGGGCCCATGAAAGAGTCCACAAAGTCAGTGTTTCTTGTTGGCACTGTTCGTGGAGAAACAGCCGAGCCATCTGTTGTACTCTGACAGTGGTCTGTGACTTAGAAGGGCTCTGGAGAGCAGGGGGCACTTGGAAGAACAAGCAGGCAAATTATCATTAGACGTTGTAGTAAGGAATAAAGCCAAGACTTGACACCAGACAGCAACCAGTCTAGTGGAGTCCAGGATATTAGTGTGGAAAGGTCCCTTGATGATGGGATCAGGACTGCAGTGGCAGTGAGTGAATTTCTTCACTAGCAACTTGAATGTTCTTGTTTATGATGCAGAGGTCAGAGAAGTTTGGGGAACAAGCATGCCGCAGTTGCTTCCAAATATAGTACATGTCCCCGCTCTGGATGCCAAGACCAGACTGAGTGTAAGTCAGTTGAGGAGCACTGTGTGTTGAGTCTTTTGAAGTTCTAGGGTGAGAAAGTCTAGTTCTTTATCACATCATTTACAGTAAGGGTTATCTTCTGTAGTAGGTTATGGTAGATGTGGGAGTTTCAACTCATTTCCTGAGTGGCCCATACTGCAGATGCTCCAGGCAAAAAAGTGGCTCAAATGTGACCAGATGTAGTAGTCAAGTCCTTGAAATCTCCTACGAAGCTTTAGCTTCCCTTTAAGTGTGCCATCAGATCCAGCAGTGAAAGGAAGAATGCAGTAACATTTTGGTGTCGGCCTCCATATTTTTCAGAAACACAGTTACTAGAAGACTGTCAAGACCAATGATAGGCATTGAAGAGGTTAGAGAGGAATTTAAGTAGTTTAAGAAGCTGTTTGGACTACATAGCTAGTAAGGACCGACAAGACTGGTTAGGTAGCTTGAGCCAGTCCATTGTGCTCAGAGCTGTCAGTAGGCTCTGCTTTCGTAAATGAAACACATGGTTGTCATTCAGAACATCTAAGAGAATGCATGATTCTTCGCCATAGAGTTATCCTTTCTACAATATAGAAACTGAGAAAAGGATATGACTGTACGGGGGATATCCTAAGCGGGACTTTTCCATATGTAAAATTTTAGTGCCCCCAGATGGCAGCCCCCCATGGTGGAGTTATTTGATACAAGGGCATTTTTTATGTGAAAACGACTAGTTATAAGAATTGTCGTCAGTTGGCAAAGTAAAAGATATATAGGCAGAACTAGAAACCTACAAGAATTTTTGTCTGTAGAATTGCCAGAGAAATAAACATGACTTTTTCCAAAAGTGCTCCAGATTGGATTTGGTATAAAATATAGGAAGAATTCCTTAACGATGTATGGGAGAAACAGGTAAACTAAGCTGTGGAGGTTCTAAGGGTGGGAAAGAAAATTTAGGGAAAGAAAAAACTGAAAGGAAAGGGTGAACTAAAGCAACAACTTCAAGAAAGATTTTAAGACTGAGTAATGAGTCAGCAAAAGCCATCGAGGGTTTAGGGGATTCTGAATGTGGGTACAATGGGGAATAGGGAAGAAGGAAATGTTAAAAAGAGCAAAAAAGAAAAAAGACACAGGTCAAGGACGTTTTAATACCAATAAGTGACAGAAAAAAGGACAGCAAGGATACCAAGGGAGACTATGTAGGGAATTGAATAGAAGAGTCATGGGTGATCTTGTTCTGGTGTCTCAGGTGGAAGATGAGCACCTCATGGTGCCATACGCTTGTTCTCGGGAAAGCAATCTACTTCATGTCATTATACAGGAGGAAAGTTCTTTTTCCTTCAACTCTGCTAGGTTCCCTAACTGGAGCTCTCTACATTTAGAAGGACAAAAGATAGGTTAACAAGAGGAAAACAAAGAGTTTATTTATGCATGTGGCACAGAGTCATGCAGGAGAAACTTCAATGAAGAGTAACTGGAATGGTTGGTTAGAATTCTGTCGTAGATAGCATCCTAGCAAGGGAACAATACAGTTTTAGAGAAGTGACAAGACATCCCTTTCGTGTGTAAAAAGAGGAAAGGATAATGAGTAATTGAGAAATCTGAGAGTGGGAGGAGATGGAGAGGATTTGAGGTTTCAAAATACAGATATGGAAAGAGAGTTCCTGGTAAGGGACACAGGGACAGTCTCCTTAGTCACGGCGTATAAGGGGGAGGCAAGAGTGGAAGAGTTTAGGATCCAGTTCCGGTCTGGCAATAGCCAACTAATCGTAGAAACCCTCTGCATTGTCTTAGGGAGAGGGAAATGATAATGGTGTTAATTCTTTTAGAAATAAAGTCTTTCCTTTTGGGGGGGACATATCATGTCCCAGGCACTTGAGGGCTATGAATTGCATTTTACATTTAGAGACGTTATGCTCCCTGCGGGCAAGAGCTCGGAGTAAATGTTGAATGTTGCCAGCCATCGCGGAGCAGAGAAAGTCATCTACATACTGAATTCAGATAATATTAGGGCTCAGATATTTTGCAAGGATGGATGGGAGTTCTCAAAGGAGGCTGGCTTGAGTCATGAATGGATGAGACTTAGCGACACAGAAGGAAAATTGAGTACAGTGTGGGGCTGAGCCTGACCATTCCCTATGTAGACCCCCACATGACCACAAGCGCATGATGCTCTGAGAAAGATTGGATCCAGAGGGGTGTGCTGCTCGGCAAAGCCCTGCCATGAGAAACCTGCCAAAAGCGCTTTGTCGATTGGCAAGGGATCCCCTTATGAGAGCCATGCAGGGTTTACGTATTCAACAATGGTTGATAATTCTGCACAACTCCATAGGGGCCAGCCTGGACGTGTGTATGTATGTGGAATGTAAAGAAGCGAAATTTAAAATCAACCAAAAAACAAAAGACCAAAAAATGGGTTAAGATCCTTAAAACAGAGAAATGACTGAAGTTTGAGGCAAAAATAAAGCCCAGTAGGTAACGCCTTATCTTTGTGAGACAGCCAGCATTTAGGATGAGAGAGAGAAAGTAAGGGAGGTCAACTTCAAAGGCTTGTAAGCAGGCTGCTGAGGTCAGGCCTACTTCCCAGTAAACAGTATTTCATGTAGCAGAAGGCTGTGACTAGCCCAGTCTTACTACAAAACATAGCCCTCATCCAGGTGTGCATTCTGTGAGTATCAAGCTAGCACTAGATGCTGCTTGGATAGTGATTATACAAAGATGAAAACGATAGTGTCTGCATTTGTGAGCTCTTTCCAGCACGGAGACTGGCAGCTAAAGAGTTCTCAGTTCAGTGGCATAAGGGTTATATGAGACATGAACACAGGATCGCATAAGTGGAAGCAGAGAATCTCACTAGGGAGGGTCAGAAAAGGCTTCACGGAGGTGACAAGTGAGTGGCACTTTGCAGATGGGCAGACAGAGAAAGCAGGAGAGACCGAGCAGAGGAATCGATGAGAGCAAAGGTTAAGAATAGAAAATACACCTCACGTCTCTCCCCTACCCCTCCGCCCCTTGCTACTGATTCTGAGATGTCTTGTGTGGAAGGGGTGACATTTGTCAAAGGGATGAAAAGGTTCTTGTGCCTAGAGTGTAGGTGGTGCCAGGAGTCCTGAGTATGAGGGTGGAAAAACAGGTCGGGCCTGGTTTTGAAGGGCTTCAGGTGCCAATCAGCAATTTACCATGCCTGCTCCGCCGTTCTCTCGAAGTTCTGGGAAGGAAATCTTGTAGATGGATAACTCTGGTCACAGTGGAAGGAGTACGTACAGGCAGAAACAATGAGGAGGTTATGGCAGCACTCAGAGGAGAGATGATCGGCCTTAGAAATAGGTCAGGATCAGACATTTTCATGTGGATCTGATGGAATCTGGTGGCCATCGATCCCTGTGGCCTGAGGATTTGGGTCTATTAGGAGCATAGTGGCGTCATAGAGTATGTGGACTATGTCTAGGCATGTGAATTCAGTTTGATCCTGGCATTTACAAGCTTTGTGATTCTGAGCAAGGAATGGATTCTTTCAGAGTTCAGTGCACTTCTATAAAAGCACGTGTAATGTTACCTCTTTTTTCCTTTTTTTTTTTTTTTGCAAAGCTTGAATAACATGATGTACGTGAATCTAATATACTGTCTGGCACAAAGTAAGTCATTCATACACTTGAGTGCTCTTCAGCTGGAGTTCAGGGCCTCCCATATTTTGGTTCACATAGATCCTTCTAGGAAAGAGGCCTGCTCTCTTGTACCCATCCATCCATCCATCTCTTTAAAAATCGAAGGCTCTTTACTATTTCTCAGGCATGACCTTTTTCTCACCTCTAAGCCTTTGCTCCTGCTACTTCTTTCCTTTGACCATCCTTCCTCTCCGTGGTTCTCATTTCTCTCTAGGGAAGTCACTTCTCCTTAAAGGCTGTACTTCAAATAGTACCTCCTCTAAGAACACGTCCTCAACGTCCTTCTGTAACCCTTCCAAAGCACTTTATTGGAACTGTTTTAATGACCCTTATACTATACTGTGCCTTACGTAGCTGTTTTGGATCTTGTGAGGTCGTTTATGTCACGGGAACTAAAATGGAGCCAGGAAGCCAGTGAGAAGTTTGTCTTACATTCCAATCTGCACATTTCTCCATGAACTTTTGAACTTTTCAGCTGTGCCTGAACTTTAATCTCCTCCTCACCATGACAACCAGACCATCTGCAGTCTTTACCTTGAAAGGAGCCAGCTCCTTTTGCCAGCCAACATCTTTTGTTTGCATTCGGGCTCAGCCAATCCCTATTAGCTTAGCCAGAATCAGTCATTTACATAACGAAGGCCGGATGGGGGACAGCAGTGCTGGCCTGAGCCTTTATAAGCCCTTCTTTCTTTGTTCTCCCCAGCACAATTTGGGTTGCTGCCTCGGTCTGTGCCCCGGATTGCAATCTCTCCTTGCTCAAATAAACTCTTTTTATTCTTTATTACAGCCTAAATATATATATATATTCACATTATACTACATATTTTCTGTCTTCAAGGCAGCATCTGGTTAATTTTTCTAGTCACTATAGTGCTTAATTCAATGTACAGTGTTTTCAAAAGTAGATATTTAATAGTCAGACTAATATGACTGACTTGGAGAGAGAAGAAGAGAACAGCTAACTGAGTGCTAGGTATGAGGTGGGTTGGGGCTGGTCTGTGTCCTCTTAAGGCAGAAAATTAGTGGAGACATACTGCTGCCAATCCTAATTTTATTGCCATCATTTCTAGTTCCGTCTCTGCAACTCATAGTTTTCCCACGGCATCTAAGTATGGCAAAACAAGATAGAAGGTTACTACGGACTGTTTCAGACAACTCTATCCTACTGGTTTGCTGAGTTTTTGGTTTGTTCGACCTATTTATGGCTTAATTTAGGTCAGTGGCAAAGGCAATGTTTGCTCTGGGACTTTGGTGTTATTCAATGTAAGAAAAACATATAGTCTGACAAAATCACAATCTAGGCTAACAGCACATTGTTTCAAAATAAAATTACCTGATTAAATGGCACACTCTGGCTTTTTTCATTAAACTTCTTTTAACTTAGTAAGTATTTATAAAATTAGTTTGTGGTCCCTTTAAGCACAGCAAAAGACATCAGGGGAACGTGGTGTTGAACGAAGACATAGAGAAAACCAGCCTGCAAAGAAAATTTATAAAGAAAAACCTAGCATATGGGTAATAGACAACTAGATGTGATGGTAAGTTTTTCTCTAAGAAAAAGCAGTTTTGAAAAAGAATGCCTAACATTTGTCTTTTAAAATGAAAAAAAAAATAGCTATAGTTTATGTGAGAGATCTTTATTTTCTTTTGAACAATATTAAAACATAAATTATAGTGCAGTTCAGTAACACAATGAGCATGTGTTAGAATTAATTTTTTAAAGGCACTTCTGGTGCAATTACAGTTAAGTAATATAGACAATTCGATAGTTACTTCTCTTGCCACTTTATAAAGTTGCCTCCTCTTTTTACATTGTTCTTTTAATGTTATTCAGTGAATTGTTGAATTTTATAAAAATTTCAAAGTCCCATCATGAAAGGTCCTTCTATGGATCAACTTATTTTAATTCTATTTAACTGTTAATAACAATACCGATAAATCACATTTAAAAGACGTTTTAAAATATCCTTTATTCACGTGCTAACATAATCATTCTTTCATGGACCTGTAAGAAGGTGTTTCAAGCACCCACATGTAAAGGAAGTGGAACTCGGTAATGTAAACCTCCTTTAGGAATAAAAGTTGGATAAACTTTTGTTGTTATGTTTATACTTTTTAAATGGTTTTACCCTGTTATTTTTAATTATACAATTTCAATTGTATGATTTTGTGAAGATTAACTTTTTTTAGAAAACAGGAATTTTTTACAAAAATTATAATGTAAAATTAGCTCCCCAATGCTAAATCAAAACATATTCTCTAAAGAACATTCACAATTGATCTCAATTTTATCATAAATATGTGTACAGAGAATTATAATTATCAGCTCACCTGATTAGAACAATTTTCTTATAAAGAAAAACATTCTTTGGCTACCCTTTCACAGAAACTATTGTATGATTAATGTTGAAATCCAACTAAGCTGACAAATGTTTAAAATTTTGCACACTGCATTCTTTCATTTTTGAGTTTAAAGTAAACTTTAAAAATTATAAAACACTATAAAAACTGTCACAAATTGAAAGCCATATCATTATATTTTTCTCAGTAATTGAAATATTTTTTGTTGTAGGCTACAGTACAAATAGTGTATTTTAACTACTGATTTTAAGTAAACATGGACTGTAGGATTTGATTAGAATATTCTGATATAATAATAAAACTCAACTTATTTCATGCATAATCTGAAAAGTTCCAGATATATTTAACAGTGATTTTAAAAATGTAAACATATCCTTTTCCTTGTGTAGTTGTGCTGTTGTTCCATTAAAAATAGAGTCCACGTATACGGCAACTAAATATTATTCCATCTCTAAATCTCTACGTAGTCACGATAAGAATAACCAAAAACAGATATCAAAATTATATTCTTGATTTGTTCGGAAATGCAGACACAGTATTAAGAACACATTTACTGTGCCTGAAATATTTCCCAAATTATTTTTGGTTATGGATTGTATTAACATGAGTAATTTCAGAGGCCTATAAGTGCTACATACAATAATATATGACATTTAGACTCTTCAATAGGAGTTTCTATTGTGCGAATATGTTAAAATAGAATTTTCCTGAGATAAATTATCTTGCTGGCTTACAGAAATAACCCTGTAAAACCATATTCACATTTTAATCTGACACTCACCCAAAATGAGTGTTAACAGATTTTTATCATCTGTTGATTTGTGCTAATAATTCTTCTCAGTAGATTATTATACATTTGTTTCTAAATTGGTGTACTCAGAGAACTTGTTTAAAATGAAACTTTTTAGAAACACAAAGATGCACATGAATAGCTACTTCAGAGATAACTTCCAAGTGTAAAAATCAGGAAGTCTCTTCCATGCTTTTAAGTGTACTAACACTTATTTTTAATTAGGAAGCCATTCACATTAATAACTTCTACGTAAGAACTGTTTGTGAAATACTGCTGAGATAATTTTCAGACTTCATGATAAAATTTGTCCACTCCTGACAAATGTCCTCCATGGAGAAATCTTCGCCACCATATTCCAGAGGAAGAATGCCTGGGAAATGCTGAAGTAAGCTTTCTTTGTAATTAGTCCCGTGCATATGAATCTGAAATAGCCAAAATGTTTTTAGAAAGTATGCCTTCTGTCTCTCAATACAGTAGATGAATTTCCAATGGAAAATCAACACCATAAAATAAGCTACTCTAATAACTTCCAAGACTGGAGGGCATCCTTTATTCCTCTGCTTATAAATCTAAGAACTGTACGTAAGTTTAGATTGTGCTGCTTATGAATCTGAGCATCTTACTGTAGTTATAACTATAGAAAATTTATTAAAAGATATTCTTTTCCTCTTTTAAAAGTTGATTTTTTAAACTCTAAATAAAAATATTTTATACATTCTATTCACTAATGTACAAGTTACTTTGAGCAAAATATCTAATATCCTGGGACTATTCTGTAGATGGTAAAAGGTAGTACCTGTACCTGGTATTATTTCATATAAAAGCATATACTTGAGCACAAAATTAAGTATATGGGGAATAATATATGTGGTACACTTGATGGATCTCTTGACTAGTACAAAATTAAGAGACAATTGTAATGGGTAAGAATCTTACATTTTCAAATATTTTAAACTATGAAAATTGATCACATAATGCCCTAAAGTTAAAATAAAGGCCTGGAACCTTGAATCAAAAGCACATCTTGTTGGGGGAAAAAATAACCTTTCTTCAACTGTTAGAGCAAACTGTTCATCCACACATTCAGCAATCATTTAATAAGCACCTACTATGTGCTAGGATATGAGGAATGAAAGAGGAACAAAACAAGTTTCCTGCACTCAGAAACCTCAAAATCCCCAATCCTTGACTTGTTTTAAAATGTTTAAAATATGATGAGCAAATACAGAAGAAAGTTTACTATCTCCTTAGGAAGGAGGAAATAAGAACATTCGTAGGGTATTGCCAAAATTTTGAAAAGGAAGAAAGTGGCTGGATTGGGACCCCACACACACCCCTGCCACCATTTTGGCAAATCTGTTTCATGTCAATTAACTTTCACTGACACGCTTCACCTAACTTGTCAGTTTTTAATTTTTCTTTCTCTTATGCTCATATTCTTTTTATTAGGTTCAATTTTTTGTTGTTTGTTTTTATTTTTCCAGAATAAAATTCAAAATAGAAATACTTAGTTTTAGATCTTTCAAAGTGAAACAGAGTTTGGCTAGCTATTATCAAGCTACACTGGGGTAAAAAAAAAAAATGAATAAATGAAAAAATAGACTTTTATAAAAATACTAGAGTGGAAAGTGGCCATTTTCATAGAGATGGTTCTTCTTGAAGACAGATAGAAGTACCTACTGCATAGTACCTCGATAAAATAACTTCCAGGGTCATAATTTTCTAACCAGATGCAAGATGTTGCATTTTCTTAATATGAAAGACTATACTTTTTAAAATTTCAAATTATTTTTGTAACTCACATGATCACTATTTACATTTAAATAATGTTTGAGATATAAATTGTCAAAGCCTTTAAAAACTGTTTTGTGTTCAGGCATTGGATGTTGCCACTGTCTACCTAAATTTAAAAATTCTCCTTTACAGATTAATTAGTATCCTAAGAGGTATTAGATATTCACATGAGATAAGGCTCCTATCACAAGATAAGTAAAATAATCAAATCACTTTTCTTTAACTAACGTGACATTAAGTCACATACCTCAGGTACTATGGTTTTCAGTTGCACATGTCTATTAAAAATTTTTATTTCATTTGCATAGATAATACATTCATATAGCTGGACATCAAAACACGATAAAAGATACACAATAAAATGTCTAGCTGGCAACCTGACTCTTACCCACCCCATCCACACCTCTTCCCTGTTTCATATAGTAACCACTTAGGTTGCTTTCTTGTTAATCCTTTTAATTTACTTTTTATGCAAATATAACTATAGATTCTGATTTCTCCCCTTTTTATACAGAAGGTAGCACACCATAAACACTATTCTGCATTTGGCTTATTTCACTTTACAATACATCCTGCAAATCTTGTATTCCACTACGTTGATGTCTCAAAGCTTATTTAAACAGTCCCATAATGATGAACACTCAATGGTTTCCAATATTTAGCTGCAAGGAATCTTGTCGTATATGCAGTTTTGTTCATTTGCAGGTAGGATAAATTCCCAGAAGAGCAAAGGCTATGATTTTGATAACTGTTACCACACTGCTCTCTATAGGGAATGTACCAGATTGCATTCCCACCAGCACTGTGTGAGAAGCACACGTACCCCACAGACTCACTAACTTCATTTTTCAAAATTAAAAAGAAATTTTAATTTATGAGTTGTTGGCTTATTAGATAAATACTCAAAATATTGGGCCAGTGGTGGTGGCGTGCTTAATAAATCAGTTCTTAAATGAAAAAGGATTGGAACATTTGGTATAGAGGAATAGTGACTTGAATATATTTTACTCACCCGTCCCTTGATTTTTTCAGTCAGGAATAGTTTAACCATGGAAAAGACAGCATGGAAAATTATTGGCTCATTTATCAAATGGATACCACGAACTTTTAATGGAAAGGAATCCTTTTGAAAATAAAGAAAAAAATTTGTTAATAACAAAGCATAAATAAATATATATTTTTATTGACAAGTCCCTCCTTTGAACACTTGCTAAATTTACCTAATGGGTGACTTTATTTTCAAAATTATTTATCCTATCAACACAATAGTTTGCTTTATAGTTCACAGTCACTAGATGAAGAAAATATCTCTAAAAAAGTGTTCACTTTGTAGTTTAGGCAAAGTATTTTAAGAAATGCCTGCATCTTACATACAAAAAAAAATCTCTTTTCTAATCACATATAAATGTTTTCTTAAGGAACCAATGAGTTATTTGGATATTAACATTTAAATTTTTTCTTAAAGTTTTTATTTTAAGAAAATAAACTTTTATAAAAGTTGAAAGAATAGTGCAATGAACACACACTTTTAAAGTTTTGACACTGGTATAAGTCTTTAACATCAAAGTAATGCTGGCTTCTTCATAAGGTTTAAAATGTTGAGTTGAAAGAAAAAAATCTCATCAATGATTTTCCCACCCAAAGATGTAGTGTTAGTATAAAGACATTTCCTGCCAAGTTTCTTCATACACAATTCTCTTTTTTCCTATGCATAGCTTTTAGAGACAGGTTATTAATCTGCCGCTTTTCTTTCCCAGGTTCATTCTATGAATAATTTTAAACATAATTGCTAATATGCTTTCTAAATAATTTGTATCCTGTTTTATTCCATCGATATAATACAATTTTTGTAAACATCATGAATTGCAATAATCCATCAAATGAACGGTACCATAATTTAAGTAGCTATTTTCCTATTCCTGGACAGAAAAACTGTTTTTTAATTTTATTATGCAAAAATCAATGCTATAGTACCAATCTTTATTTGGAGGCAATGATAGTTATAAACACAGCTTTTACATGCAAATGATCTGAACTGGAATCTTTGCTTTACTGCTGACAAAATGTGTGTGTTTGGGCATTGCTATCATCTCTCTGACATAGTTAATTAATTTGTAAAATGGAAAAAAATAATAGTCATATGACATAGGCTGGTGTGGCCATTAACGGACTTGAAACACTTAGCAAAGTACCTGGTACATTGTTTGCTACCGTTATTATATACAAAGTCTTTTCTATATTTAAGACTATTCCTTGGCTACATTCCCAAAAGTAGGTGACTATTGGGTCAAAAGTGATGGGTATTAAAAAACCTTTTGATTTTTAAAAGAACTGTATCAATTTACACTTACTAAAACTTATGTGACATTTTGGTATACCATTGCTATAAATATTATTTTTTGAGTCAACTTTTTAATTTAGGAAGAAAATTTTAATGACAGAAAGATAAAGTCACCACATTACTGTTTAAATGTATAAATTGTGTAGTTACTAATCTTGAACATATTTTCATAATTTGTTGCAACATTCTTTTATAAATTAATAACACTTTTTCTTAGCATTACTGAATTCTATGTATCATTACTAAAATTTTATTTGATTTTCTAATGAATGTACTATCCCTTCTCTTTGTATAATATCTAACTAAATTTAAGTCTATTATTTGGAATTATTATGCCAAAAGTTAAACTATACCACTTACTGTAAGAACAGCAGCAATCTTCTTGGCTACAGATGGGGTAATTTGAAAAGCGTGAGAAAAATGCCAGCCTTCCAAATCAAAGACAGCCTTGATACCATTACGTTGGGTTTCTACCTCCTGTACAATAAGCTCGGATGTGATAAGACTTACACGAAATACATCATAAGCCGTAAAAACTTTGGGGTCCCAGTGTGCTAAAAAAAATAATAAAAGATATCATATCTCAGCATTGTGTGAAAAATCAGAAAGACTTACAAAGGGAAACTAATTCTTTTTAGACTTAAAGAATCAATAGAAATATAAACCTGTACGAAGATCTTGAATTGAATAATAGATGAAATTGGTGGTCAAAAAACATATGTCTGCTTCTCCCTAGTAAAGAACAGATTTTTAAGAGCATGGAGTAGGGGCTGGATTTGATTGCCAGATGAAGCTACAGCCCAAAGACGCAGGAGAGGGCTTTAGCTAAAGATAGGAGCTCTGAGCTCAGAGGTGTTGAAAATGGGAAAAGCACAGCGTGGATCATGAAGAGTAACTAGGGCCCTACAGCAACCAAAGAGGTTGTGAATGGAAATGCTTGCGGAGTAGACAGGCTGGCTGATGTCTCTGACACCCCTCAGTGACAAGCAGCATGCGCTGGACTCATGTCCTGACAGGCTGGAATAGTAAGTGTGGGCTTCAGACAGCAGAATCAGGGGAGCACTCGCATAGCTGACCACACCCAGGAAAAGCAGGGAATACCTGTGCTAACAAGTGGAGTTACTGACATTCTTCTCCTGCCTTCTCCCTCACCATCCCTGAGGCAGGTCATGGCTTGCAAAAAGGATAGTAATGGATAAGCAAGCAGGTAATCTTTAAAAAAAAAAATGCATCCACTAAGAATTGTAATATATTTGAAAAACAGACACACAAAGAAGAGAGGAACCAAACTCAAAAGACAAAGGTACTGAAACCCAAGGAAACAGTTAATAAAGCAAAAAAAGCATTAAAGGAAGCAAATCGTTTCAGTGGGGAAAAAAAGATACCAGAGGCTATTATTATAAGCACAGGCTATTATTCAAAAGAATCACTTGAGATCTTAGAAATAAAATGATGATAATTGAAGCAAATCTCAGTTGATGGGACAAATGACAGAAAAGACACAGCCAACAAGTGAATAATGGTTTGGAATAACAAGCTGAGGAATTAAAAGCCAAGAGTTGATATGTATGAATTAAAGTTAAGAGGTATTCAGCTAAATCTAGAAGTTTCAAAAGCCAGCTAATTAAAGGCAATAAAATAGGGAATGGGGAACAGAGGAAAGAGGAAAAGTAACGGTAGAGAAAAATTTCCAAAGCTGAAAAAAGAAGTCTTCAGATTAAATGGTCCGTGGAATTCATAACAGGATGGAAAAGAAAAAAAGAAAAAAGTAAAAGAAAGAGAGAGAGAGAGAGAGAGAGAGAGAGAGAGAGAGAGAGAGAGAGAGAGAGACAGACAGAAAGAGAAAAAGAAAAAAAGAAAAAGAAAAAAATTTTTTCAAATCTCAGGGTTTTAAATGGCCTCAAATATCACCCAGTCTCACTCAGAGGGAGTCACCACTTCCTGGTGCAACAGGCTTAAGTTTCTTGGTGGGGATTTCCGAAAGAAAGAAGAAAGAAAGAAAGAAAGAAAGAAAGAAAGAAAGAAAGAAAGAAAGAAAGAAAAGGTTCATGACTAAGTAATAGTAAAATTTCAAAATAGCAAAGTTTCTGACTTGGACAACTGAGTAGAATGCTGGTACCATTTATTGAGATAGGAGACACAAACATGGGAAGAGAAATGTTTGAGGCAGAAAAGATCATAAGTCATTTCAGACATGTTTAAATGGTGATTGTGAAACATCCAATTGAATACAGCTGGGTTAGGGAGCTGTTCTGTGAATCCCTGGGAACAGGAGATGGCAGAATAGTTGCATATCTGGGAGTTGTTTGTGCTTATATGAGTCTATGGCAGGGATTATGTTAGAGCTATGTTTCTCTCTCATAAAGTAGCATGAGGCCAACGTCCTAAGAAATATCAGGATTTAAGGATGAGTAGAATAGGTGGTGCCAGCAAAGGGGACTAAGAAGGAGTAGCCAGTTAAATCAGAAGCCACCTGTAGAAAGTGACATCAGAGAAGCCGAGGGAGCAGGGCACCTCCAGAAAGAGGAAGTGGTTTGCTGTGTTCAGAGGTCAAGTAAAACAGGACTAATCACATCCATTAGATTTGGTGAAAAGGTCACTGATGATTTGTTAAGGTCATTTCAGCGGAGGGCTGGGAGCGAAACCAGTAGAACCAGATGAGGGTAGAGTGAAAGGAACTGTGAGAAAATGTGGCTGGCTAACACCGCTAACTTAAGAAATTTGGTGGGATTGAGAGGAGTGGAGAAGTGGCTGGGGGTGGAGGCTGCATGGCCTTGTGGGATGGAGGAGGAATTTTTGTTTCGTTTTGGATGGCTGACTCTTAGCCGATTCAAATGTCAACAGGTAGCGTCTAGGAGAAAGGAAAAATTCGAAGATATAGAAAGAAAAGAGATAATCAGTGTTCTAAGGAATGCACGATGGATTGGACTCTTGTTTTCAAAAGCCTTGGATACCTGGTGAGAATTCGAGTAATCGATCCATGGACAACCCAGCTCAAATATACTATACTACTTCAGAAATTGAACGAAAGCTACAATGGTGAAAAATATGAAAAGAATGACTGAAAGTCTGCAATTCAGAAAGTACATACCTAAACTTCTGAGCCCACCAACATGGCCAGACCTGTACTGCCCAGTACATAGCCATTAGCTACGTGTGGCTATTTAAATTTAAATTAATTAACATTGAATAAAATTAAAAATTCAGTTTCTGAGTTGCAATAGCCACAAGTACTCAATGGCCATGTGTGGCTAGTGGATACTGCAGAACAATTTTATCATCACAGAATGTTCTATTGGATAGTTCTCATCTGGACTTTAATCTCCTTTAAGGAAAAAAAAATGCCTTAAAAATTTAATTCCTTTTCTAACATCCAGCTGACATTTATTGAGTGCTTACTATATACCAAATAATGTTCTAATTATGTTACAAGATTTAATACTCACAGCAATCCTTTGAGATAGGTTTTCACTATGCCCGATTGATGGATGAGAAAAGGGGCTTACAGCTATACAGCTCTCCATGGAGCTACGACATAACAGAGCTGAGATTGCAACCCAGACAACATATTCCTAAGAACTCGTATTCCTAAGAACTAAGCTGAGGAACCAAACTTAATACTCATTGTTAAATTTGACTTTTGCTCTTTTAGTGTCGTAGTGAGTTTCCAAAGGCTTAGAGTTATAGTTGACCTTTGAACAATGCAGGAGTTAAGGGTGTCAACCTCCAGGCAGTCAAAAATCCACCTATAACTTTTGACCCTTCGGAAATTGAAATAGTACTAGCCTGCTGTTGACTGGAAGCCTTACCAATAACATAAACAGTTGATTAACACATATTTTGCATGTTATGTGTATTATATACTGTATTCTTACAAAGTAGACTACAGAAAATTACTAAGAAAGTCATAAAGAAGAGAAAGTACATTTCCAGTATTCTATGTATTTATTGAAAAAATTCCACATATAAGTGGACCCACGCAGTTCACATCTGTGCTGTTCAAGGGTCAGCTGTATATTCTCTGGCTTATAGGCTAATCATGGCAAAAACTTAACCTGCCGGAATGGAGAAAAAGGCTCAGTCCATTTTTTTCAGTTTTTACTGCACACAGAGATGGTGCCTAGGAAAGGTGGTTAAGTTAATGTTCTATCAAAAAGCTTTAACACAAATTTCTTTTTCTGGGTCCTCCCGTTAATTCCATTCAATTTATAAAATTTATAAGTCATTATTTTATCTTTTTGTTTTATTTATAAAACTGTTTTGAGTTTCTTTTTACCCTAGAATAACACATTATTCTATATAACGCATAGGAGATTTTCTGCATACCTTCATGTTCTGACCATCGCTAAACCTACATGTTTTTCCTGATTTTAAAATTTCTTTGACTTAGTCTACGGCCATGCTACCCTGAATGAGCCCGATCCCGTCTGATCTCGGAAGCTAAGCAGGGTCAGGCCTGGTTAGTACTTGGATGGGAGACCACCTAGGAAGAGTAGGTGCTGTAGGCGTAAAAAAATAATAATAACAAATAAATAAATAAAATAAAATCTCTTTGAGTTAAACAGTGCACTTATAAGTGAATATACTACCAGATGCCCTCGATAAACAACAGAGGGCTCCTGATTCCGTGTTAAGGTATTTATGATCAAAGTAGCACATTTCCTTTTTCACTATCAAGATGTCATTTTTACTCTTAACTTGCCCCAGTTGGTTTATGAACAAACTGGAAAAAAACTGCAGCCAGGCAGTGCAGATCCAGGATACTTGCAGAGAGAATGATCTGTAGGTTTGTTTAATGTTCCTGGGACCCCAGCAGGGTTGCCTGAATAAACATAAGACGCCCAGTTAAAGCTGAATTTCAGATAAATGAGACATTATTTTTTAGTAAAAATATTCCCTGTGCATACTAAAACTTATTGGTTGCTGAAATGAAATTCAAATGTAAATGGACACCCTATGTTTTTATAAAATATAGGTTGACTTGCTACATACTTGCTACACTAAAGCTGGCAACCCCACCCAAGGAGCTCAAAGAACTTCATTCAACATCCTATAACATTGTTGGAGCAATAAGAGGACAGAAGAAAAACATTATGACGTCTGGTTTATAGACAAATGACTTCATAATTAACCCAGTTGTATTTGACATATAAGCTGAAGCAATAAAACTGAACCATTTCTAGTCAGCCTTCTGATACCCTTTCAAGAATTAAATGCGCTGTCTCCTTGCAAGATAGCAGACAGCCGACTCACAGGCAGGCATCTTATCTATAAGCAAGCAGGAGAAGCAAATCTATGCAGATGTTAAAGTTCCCTAGAACATTTAACGGTATGAAAGTTTCTGTAAGATTATAGTTCCTAAGATTCTGCTCGTAAAATGTTGGGCCACGAGAGGATGCCGGGGGTGGTGTGGGTCCTCCCTTAAATGCTACTTTTAATCACACACAGGTCTAAGGAAGGGACAGAAGTTATAAGTCACTAACCTACAAGAAATCGTGGGAAGACCTAATGGCGAAAGTGGAAGCAGTGAAGAGCAAGAGGGGCGTGTGCAATACGTGAACTTCAACATTTCCCAGGGGTGCTGCTTTCCTGCGGCACCTCCTCCATCCGGGGAGGAGCCTCTCACCCCTCGCCCCTCAGCCTCAAGCGCTGTCCAACTGGTCATTCGCTAGCTCACTCCAAAAATCATTAATAAACACCCATCATGCGCTTGCGATACATCAGTGAACAGAACAGACAAGATCCATGTTCTCGTGGAACCTATACATGTTATTATAATTCAGAATTCTTACTTATATTTCCCACTAAATATGTTTTGCAACACTTTCCCCTGATCTTTTTCACCTTTC